TACACCGTTGTGGCACTTTATTTCAATTTGTAATTTTTAATTTAATTTACATTGACTTACAAATAAATGGACGACGGGTCTAATACAAAAACCACGAAAAAAATGTCCCAAGTCAACCTATTTAAACGTAGTGACATGTAAAGGAATATGAAAAAGCTAAAACGTTGAATTTAAATTGTAATGTCATCGCAGTACTGTCTAATTTTGCTTGCGTCGCTGTCAGTCGAACAAACGAAGACTAAAGCGTGAATGACGCTCTGTATACGATTTTAACGCCCTATAAGGTCGGACACTTTTTAGCGCGGACCCGACGTCCATATAATTGTAAGTCAAATCATACACAAATCACAATCTGTAGGTGTGACCCACCGCTGAAACAGAAGGTACTAAAGGCTCGTGTGTAACATTTGAACCGCGAAAACGAATGCTTGTTGCTATGTTGTATCTCGTTTAACATCTATTGAATCTGCACGGACCGTTAATATTATGGCACGTCTGCGTATATGTAAATAAGTTCGATATTTATTGTCTATAACTGGCAGGTACAGTTGATGCCCCAATAGGTCTACCACGAAATACGAAGCAATGATCGTCGTTTTAGCTTCGTATCGGACCGCATGCTAGCACGAAACGCATACGAAGATCGTAATTTGACTTAAGTCCTTACTCCGAAACGTCAAATGACAGCTTTCGTATCGAATTTTGACATTACTTTTATAGTAAAACTGACATAACTGTAGTTCGTATGCGTTTCGTTGCGGACGCAGTCACGTAGTATCGTAATTCGTTGTAGACTTCCGAGCCCGTAGCCGACCTTTTAGGTTTCTTACCCGAAGGAATTCCAGCTTTTTGGTTGATAAAAGCAAAGATTAAACTTGGTTAAAAAATTCTTAAAACGTCATTCACTAATGATGCATTAACGAAGTCATATCAATATCAATTTCACGAGTCACAGATTAATGGTTAACTGATCTACTCAGAACCAAATAGTCGTTTAGAGGGTCAGGTGTCTTAGGACATCCACTGTACCTAAACCTTTCCAAATATAACATGAACATCAGTAATTTTAAATACCATTGTTAGGCATTATACACTCGAATCGTGCTTTCCATCGCAACATAACAAGGTTTAACTCAAGTTACACATACGTCAATAATTTACCAATGATAAATGATCATCAACTTATAGAACTACAAAACTAGATACTGTAACGGAGAACCATTTTTACATTATCAAAATACTGATTCTACACTAACATTATTATAAACTAGTATTCCAATGTAGTGATGTACTAGAATGGTGAGTGTAATTTATTATACATTGAAAAAAAAAACGCAACAAATCGATACTCCGCCTTAAATGTGACGAATTAGAAGGTAGGTAATTACCTAATTTAAAAAAATTTAAAATTAAAAAAAAATTTACATGGTCAATAAATGCTTTTGAGTACAGATTTGTCCTTGTTGACGCCTAAGGCCTAGTATATGTATATATATATATATAAATAATTTCAAAATATTAACACTCATCTCGCACGCGAAGGTACACCCATGAATTGCAATTGACCCCAAATAATGTCGTAACTCAAAATTTTGGAATTGAGACAATACAATTTGACAAAATATTAATATATATAGTATATAATATATATGGTATATATCGACCCTGAAACGGCAAAGCGTCTATCGTGCTTTTGGACAAGATTACAGAGATTTAGTAACTTTTTGAGTTCTTAGGTTTTCGCGATTGTTACATATAGGAAATGAAGCTATTTTTTTATAAACAACGTTTCTTTACAGGTCCCATTGTCAACCGTGACCGTTGGTTTCTTTGAAAAAATGAATATACGCGATTTAAATCCGGAAACATCGTTTCACTTCCTAAAGTAACTTGTTTGAGAAAAAAGTCCTAACTGAATATTTATTAGTTATATGGAAAATTGTTTGTTTTTTATTCCTTTCAATTTTGTATTCTTTTTGACGTTACGTTTTCGTTACAACGACAACGCACACACTAGGGAAACCCTGTATCGCGGATGCCATGGACACACACAGGTAGACAATCACAAATTACACCCAGACTCACGAGAGAAATAAACGTAGACCATACAAATATTTCTCCCGGCCCGGGAATCGAACCCGGGACCTCTGCATGGCAGTCCAGTAAGGTAACCCTTCGACCACAGAGTTAATGTTAATCGTTGTTGTGTCATAAAATCGCTCCATAAAATACGTTCCCAAAAACCCCAATGGATTACTATTTTCTTCTCTTTCTCCCTCCACTTCTTCCCTGGAAAGCAGATTAAGCTCCGCTGCATACGCAGTCCGCAGAATACGTGAGCTTACCGAAGTTAGTACTGCTAGACTAGTTTACTTCAGTTACTTCCATAGTATAATGTCCTACGGGATTCTCATGTGGGGTAAAGCGGCAGATATTCAAACCATATTTGTATTGCAAAAACGAGCGATTCGTTCTGTGTACCGTCTAGGCTCTCGGGTTTCTCTCAGAGTAAAGTTTAAGGAGACTGGTATCATGACTGTGGCATCACAGTACATTTACTCAAATATTTTATATGCCCGTAAAAATATACATAATTTCAATAAGAAAGAAGATATCCGTAATATTAACCTTAGAGCTGAGTCCAAACTCACGGTACCACGACGTTTAACCAAGGTAAACAAGTCTTTTATGGGGAACTGTATACGTTTTTACAATAAGCTTCCGGAGCATATATTAAGTTTATCATTTCCTAAGTTTAAAAACTACATTAAAAATATTTTGATCGAAAAATCATATTACATTAATTGAAGACTACGTGTTAGATAAAGATGTATGGAAAGACGACATGGCTCCAGAATCCACACAAATTTGATTCAAAGTGTATTCCATAGCATTTAAGTTTATTTGAAAAGAGCAATCCCTAGAGTTTCTTGCTCATTCTTCTCAGGGAGGTCAGCGTAGGGAACGATCAGTAGCTTAAATGTGACGTTTTCAAGTGTAAATTTATTTTATCTATAGAATAAATAATCTTTGACTTTGACTTTACTTTGACATTCAAAACCATTAGGCAAGTGTCTCGTTAAAAGTTTTTCATATAACAAATAAAATTAGAGTTGTGATATGAAAAAATAACTTTAAAACGCTCTCCTGTAATATTTTCCAAATGCATGTTTCGTTCACAATTTTTCTTTTAATTTTCAAATCGTGTTTTTCTAATATTTTTATTTTTTTTAATTTCACAAATTTGAGTTACGACCGTATTTGGTTTCGTATGCGAAATCTTGTGCCAAGTAACCAGAACACGGGAGCGCTCCGGCATTGTCAGTGAAAGCTGGTAACCAGGAATTTATTTTATACACAAATTATAAACCGAATTCTCCGTGTACATTTCCTCACACACGTGTCAATGAAATGAATATCATAGTTAGTTGGTGGGTGTAGAAAAATTAATGTTCAGTAAATTGATTTTACGAAAACTTTGTAGATACGACCAGAATGAGTGGAATATAAAAAGAACAGTTTTATAGAAGTTTGGTTAACTGCGATTCGAATGCGAAGGACATCACTAAATAAGATAGAGTACGTACGCGTACCTACTGCAATCCATCCAATCACAATATTTGCATCCGTACATACTATGACATCAAAACGCACATAAAGCACATATTGTTACCGAACGGACTTAAAAATAATTATACAAATTAAATTGGCTTCCTAAAAATACAAGCGTATGAAATCCTACATGTCTACGTTGTCGGTTGGAACTATAGGGGTAAAGAGAATAAAAAGAAAACATCAACTAAAACGTTAACAAAATACGAGACATTCTCTATGGAAAATACAATAAATAATTTACAAATTACATACACGTATTAAAGTTATCTACTAATAGTTACTTCGTTGCTAATGTTTATCACTATACGAACGAGGAGGCGAGTGGTCTGGCCTGCGCAAATTATTCGCTGGCTGCAATGAAATTTAATATCGGGGCATAGAAGTCAACTTATTTAACAAACATGATGCCATGCTAACACAATTTTGCCCCTTACAACACTCACGGGCGTACATTTTGACGAAAACGAATTATTTACATTACAAGATAAAAATTCTTAGTCGAAATATGTAAATAACTCCTTTTCTTCAAAATTGTAAATTGATTCCATTCGTGCTAAAGGAATCGATTGGTGGGAAATAAAAGGGTTACAGGGCTACTCGCCTACGACGCCACATTTAACTTAGAAAAGAATACAGAGGCATGCCGTCCGCCGCACTTTATCCTATCATAGCCTAGACCGAAACCAACTTTATCTACATTACTCAGTCCAATATTGTCAGTCATTTTCTTATTATACACATCGACACATCCGTATAAGTACAAAAGCGTTCGGGAATCCAGCTAGTGTTAATTTGAATACAGATGACTTTGTCAGTTTTTTCAAAGAGCTTGAAAAGATTGTAAACCGCCAAAAGGGAGCAATAATAATAGATTTACAGAATAAGTTAAGGCGAAAGAGAAAAGAAAGGATCGAAAGGGGTATAATTTAGCACGACGAGTGACGCGAGAAAGAAGAGGCAACGGAATCAGAGAAAGATTCAAAATTTGTAAATACCAGGAACCAGAGAAAAGGTGATAAAAAGGTGAGACGATCATGATAGAGATCGCATCGTCAAAGTACCTTGCTATTTCTGCCGCCAAGCAGTAACGTGCCCATTATTGCGTTCCGGTTTTGAAGGGTTCTGGTGAAATTACAGGCACATGGGACTTTTCAACTTATGTCTCAGGGTGACGGGCGCAGTGGCAGTGCCCCTCAGATCTTTGCTTAAAGCTCATGTCGCGTACCATCAGGCGCACGATTTGTCATCCCGTCACTTATTACCACAAAAAAAGTTTTTAAACATGTTGTTTCTCACAAAAATAATGTCGTCAAAGTATAAGTAAAATTGGTGAAAAAAAGTAAAGATGATGTACATAAACTCAAAAGCATGCAAAGGGGAGGATTTATAATGAAGCAGATTTATGATAGTGGTGGTAGCCCCGTGAGGCAAAGGTTGCTTATTAGCTAACTAATCGATAGTCCAATATCTCACGGTGAAGGAAAACATGTTGAAGAAGGTTTACAATCCCTGGAAAATGTGAAAAGTCTCTACAGAGGACTCTAGGTTTCAAGAAGAAACCCGTACCCAACAGTGAGAAGGAGTAGTTAGAACATTGTTCAAATACACACTAGCAAGAGTCATTTGCCATCTTCTAACACAGTTCCACCTTACCAAACGATAATCTCCACTCTTCTAAAACAAAAAGTTTTAATTATTCGTTAACGAATGAAAAACTTTATAATATCTTCTACATAATTAATTTCACGATGGGTAACAGTAACTAAGACAATGGAATCTTGCCGATAAACCTACATTTTAAAGCGAACTAGGAATATAAATTGAGATAGATAATTTCAGTAGCTTTGGTAGAGTAATATCATTCGTTATATTGTTACACAATGTAATCCACTTGAAGACAATCATTGTCTCGCTTCAACCATCAGCTCATAAATGAGTATTTTGTGTATTATTCCATTACTAGGTACTAGTAAAGAAAATAAATATATAGCTCATGGTCTAGTATCTGTGACTGACGCTTCGAGTCACACGCCTAGCGAACAGGTTAGACCGGAACGATTCGTCTAAGAGAGCAATGCTACTTTGTCGTATTTATAAATTCGCGTGCTATCCCGTCATCGTCATCCGGGATGGCACTGATGAGGAATGCTATAGAGATTCTTGCACGTGTAAGTGTGGAACAGTGCTAGTATGCGAGCGCAACGGCTGCTCCGACCGCGATCAGCGAGCGGCTCACGCGCGTCCGACCGCCTCCTGCGCGGTCGCCGACCGAAAAAACTCCACATCTGTCGTCGATATGGTCGACATGGTCGACTCATCCCAGCTGATCTCCGTCGTCGTCGTAGTTCCATTTTCGTGTTTTCTTCGCGTTTTCGGTTGCTTCTTCTTTTTGGGGTCGTTAGCCTTCTTGTGCTTTCTTTTGTGCCTCATGTTTTGTTTCTGGACACGCCTCTGACAGAGTCTGCGGTACAACGGCGGCTTTTTCAGTTTACCGCGATGCCGTCTCGGCGGGCATTGTGTCTGTCTCGGTCCTTCCCAACGCAAGGTGAGCGTAAGCGCGTATGTCGACAAGTTCCCCAGAGGTCGGTTCATTGGTATCTGGGTCCTCCTTGCCTTTCCACGGTTATCTAACGCTAGGTAGGTTTTCTTGCCAGCACGGATTCGGGAGTATGTATTGTAATTGTTTTCTTCTATATGTTCCTCGAAGACGCAATCTTCTGAGAGATCCTTCTGAAACAATAGAAAAATAGAGTTTAAAAGGTACATACACAGTTTTCGCTACCAACGAGGAATAACTAAAAATTAAATAAGGATTTTAGAAATATTCAGAACTGTAAAGGTAAGGAAGCTGCAATAGTTTGGCCACGCCGTGAGGGAAAATAAATACCGCATTCTTCAACTAATAATGCAGGGGAAAACCCAAGGAAAGCGTAGTCGTGACGAAGGAAAACCTCGTGGTTGAAGAATCTGAGAGATTAGTTCCACCTTAGCACTTGTTGCCTCTTTCGTACGGCGGCTTCAAAAATGACAATGATGGTCGCCAACCTTAATTTCGTAGAGAGGCGGTACACTAAGAGGATATACATATGCAATACCTAAGCTCGAAGAGGAGATATTTTTGTGATACACCATTTCCTGGTGCTTCGTCAGCCAAACCACAGCATCTAACAATTGGCTACGTGTCTCACCCTCTAAGTAAATCGCTGCAGGATAAAGTAATGCCTCTTAAATTGTAATTCGAGGACATTAAATTCAATACATGATAGGTAACTTACTGCTGCTGGTGGTTGAAAATTATAGCGAAGGTTGATTTATGATGTTAGCAATTTGTCCTGCAGGAAGTTGTTTAGGTTAACCAGGTAAGAAATATTGGTCATGAATATGCATCATTAGGTTTAACAAGATTGTTCTGAGGTAGCGGTCGTATGAATAAATCGTTGAGTATCTTCGGTGGGTGACTTTAGTCTCAGATACAGTTATATTTGGACGGTTTATTGAGCCACGAAGAAATTAACAATTGGATAAAACAACTCAGTACATTTTTAATATCCTTATTACAAAGTTTATCGTTTATTAACAGGACATTTGGACAATGGAATGTTGAAGCCTTTAAACTGGTAAGTTGTACATGTCTACTGTATTAATTGTTGTATTAATATTGGAATGTACAGCGCCGTGTGTTTGGGAGGAAGCTATGCCACCCATGGAGAGTTGGTTAGTTGTTAGAAACCCTTGGGCTACGTATTAGAATTGTTGCTGAAGTTTCATTAACTGCCAATAGAGGTCGTTGGAGCCTCAGGCGGTCAGTTAGTCGCTTTACACGAGATAATTTTAAGTTTTCGTGCAAAGGATAACGCAAAATTTGTATTAACTCTACGTTAACGTATCTTACATTAACGTATCTGGTTGATGAAGAGCATTTAAACATATATTTTTTAATATTTTGTCTCATATTGCAATAAAAAGCGTGTGAGTGGGTTTTTTAAGCGGGACAGTATGGGGAAATCCGAAACTATTATAAGATAGAAAAGAAACTATCTAGTCCATAAAAATGAATAAAATTCATTAACATTTTTTTAGTGCTACTCGACACAGTTTCGTGAAGGGATCCATTTCATTGTATGGGATAAAAAACATCCGGACAACAGAAATAATTAGTCAAATTTCATAAATTATTAATGCTAATAAACTCAGTTTCGTATAATAAATAAGAATAATAATAACGCACACACTCAACATAGGCCCGCACTAGCGACATAGACAACCACAAATTACACTCAAACTCACGAGAGAAATAGATGTAGTGCATACAAATATTTCTCGCGGCCCGGGAACCGAACCTGAGACCTCTGCGTGGTAGTCCAGCAAGGTAACCGTTCGGCCACGGCGGCAGTTATATATAAGGATGATTACATTGTATATGGTATACTAAATTTAATAAAAATTATTTTTCATACATTTCTTTTTATTGATTTTGTAATCACGGAGGTCGTCCACAGGCATATGGGACTTGTCAAGTTATGTTTTGGGGTGACGAACTGGGTGGCAGTGCCCTTCAGATCTATGCAATGGAAAGCTCTGCGTGACACTGCAATAGCTTTCTGCTATGGACAGGCGTGCCGCCGATGCACCACCGGGCACATGATTTGTTCGTCCCGTTGGTATAAAAAAAAAATTCCAATTGCGAAAACCTAAGAACTCGGATTAAAGGTATAATGAAATAAGTAAGTAATAATCATTGAAGGCATTGACTTACAATTATATGGACGTCGGGCCCGCGCTAAAAAGTGTCTGAACTTATAGGGCGCTAAAATCGTATACAGAGCGTCATTCACGCTTTAGTCTTCGTTTGTTCGACTGACAGCGAAGCAAGCAAAATTAGACAGTACTGCGATGACATTACAATTTAAATTCAACGTTTTAGCTTTTTCATATTCCTTTACATGTCACTACGTTTAAATATGTTGACTTGGGACATTTTTTTCGTTGTTTTTGTATTAGACCCGTCGTCCATTTATTTGTAAGTCAATGATTGAAGGAAAATGATTTCGACGCCAACTATCAAAATGTTGAAAAATATGCTAAATCGTTTCGTAACAAACTGTGGAAGGTGTCTTGCTAAGGATTTTTCGTCAATTAAGTTGCACCTCGGCTCGAGTGGTCAATTGACTCCATATCTAATCTGTGAACGATTAGACCCCGTTCCCGGTGATAGCCCAGAACCCTGTTTAGGAAATTGGTTCATAGAGTAAATGGTGTGAGAACCATAGATAAGAAAATGGGGATTCAATTTTGAGATACCGTGATGTCGATGAAAATCGTTAAGAATGATAATTATACCGGCACGAGAGTTAGAGTTACTTGCAGTAAGTAATTCCGAAAGTAACATTGCTTTAGGTACACAACGAGTGGGTGAGAAATAAATGTACGTACGTCATAAGTTTTCTATTACCGATTTTTCTTTTTTTTTTAAACAGAGGCAGATACAATTGTCTCACTAATTGATCTTATGCGATGACGTTATCGACGACAGTACGTGTTTGTCTAAAAAATGTCCATTCACTATACGTAGTGTAAATTAAGCTTTATTAAGAAATAGTTTTTTTTATTAATTTAAAAGTTTTATGAAATAATAATAATAAATGAAACTTTGTTTAACGGCGTTAACCCTTTTCGCGGGTTACCTTCTATTCGGTTCGAAGATTTAAAAAAATAATTTATTTATTGTAATTGTTGAACACTAACTCACTACATTGAATATTATGACCTATTTTAAAATGTGAACTGAATTGGACTCCTATTTTAATAGACTGTCTACGAAAAATATAATTCGAGACTGGGCAGTATAGAAAATTGCCAATGTCTATTAGAGGAGTATACTTCATGAAGAGTGAAGGAACTTCGTTCGACTTTTGAATTTATAGTAGGTGCTGTACTTACAGCACTTGCTGTAAGTTATTTAGTTAATTTTAACTTTATTTGACTTTATTGTTTAACGAGGGTCTAAAAAAGATCCATTGTGAACGTGATATTCACCTGGAACACTTTTCGAGAGTTAAATAGGTTTTCCATCAGAGTACCTCAAATAAAAAAATAAATAAATATTGAATGCAAAGTTGATAGTCCATTTTGGCGCCAAGTGGTGTTCCGTTTTTTAAGATCCAAATTCGAACACACACTACAATTCGACAGTATTTTATCATGCCGTGTTTATTTATAATTTTAGGTTAAAAAGAGCGCTTGCCTTGTCGAAGCATATTTTACCTTGTTTTTCGAGCATGAGAAGTGAAAATGAAAATACTTATTACATAAAACGATTGCATTATAAATTTCATTTCAAAATGGAAATAAGATATAAGTGCTGGCAGACCTTCCATGCTATTTGCATCTTGACATACTAAACTTGAAATAGTGATTATCACAATTCTTTAAGAGATTATTTATTTATCAATTGCATCTTCCGAACATATAATCGATAAATCGTTCCAACCTTAAGGGTCAAATGCTCTATCGAAAAAGATAATCGACTATCGATAATTTGGGGCAACACTACCGCACAAACAGGGTTATCGTTTCTGATCTTTATGGGCTCAAAAACAATTGATACAGAAGATCGGTTGACGACTTCTATCCCTTGTAAAGGATTCCACATGAAGGAATTAAATTTTACTGTCCATTCTTATGGCGGCTTCACGAGAATTTAAACATCATTGGAATGCGTCTTATATGCATATCATCTAATATTAAAATAAATATACATATTTGAAGAATACGTATCATCTCTTTTATCACGAATGGAAAAGATAATAGTTTTTTATGAGATTTCAAGAGATAATTATGTAATGATTGCGTACAATACTTTTTCTACGAGTAAATAAAATAATGAAACAACGAATATTTTATGTATATTTTGTTAACAATCCATGATAACTAACTCAGTTTAAAAAAAAATTAAGGCTGTTTATGTATGGTTATAAGGGTAGGCAAAAGTTCCACGATACAACCTATTCATATATTTAATACGAAAACCAAACAAACACTTAGAAAACAAAAAACAACGAGATAGCTTAGAAGTGGCCAAGTACTGCATGTATTTTAACCAATAAATAAATAAAAAAAATTATGGCCCGACTGCAAGATTATTAGGCCAATTCAACCAATCAGGAGGCAGTATAGGGTTTTTCGTCTTAATCTTAGAGGCGGACAATTTTCAGCTCAGTGGCGAGTACAATAGACAATAGAGTTTTAATTCAGGAGTAAAAAGAGCGCTTAAAGGATATTAGGATTAAACTTAGAATAATAACGCATATAAGCCTAGTCCGCACACGCTAAGTGAGGCAAATTGAAGCGCGCCCAAAGGGCCTACACGAGCGGGCGGGCCTTCAGTGCTCAAGGTCAATTTGCGCCGCGAACAGCTTCAGAATTTTAGCTAAAAATGACGAAATGTGCGGTAAATGAGTGTAAAAATACGTCAGACAAACATAAAATACATACTAACATCACATTCCACAAGGAAGCAACGCGTTTCAACTTGTATTTTTATATAAATATTCGCTAAAACCGAAAATTAACCTACTACTAAAACTAGCCTACATGAATTTGATTTTTGCCTCACTTGTGACAGTTCGTTTGATATGAAACTATAATTCTATGTGTTATTATTCTAAATGATTAAACTACAGAAGTAGAAAATAGTTATTTTTGATACAAGTGCGGAAAGTTGGTCATTA